CCAATTCTTAGAGAAGTCTCATCCCAAATGTGCCATGATTACCTACATACTCATTGCATATGTGGGAAGTATTTTTTAATCAGTAAAGCAACAGATGCTCCTTAAGTAAAACTGAAGTAACTGCCTCTTCTTCTCCACTCTGCTTTCTCCAATAATGATGACTATTAAAGAATAAGGTGGATTACACAAAGCAGTGTTGATTCTACTTAGGCAACACTGGACCAGTTAAAAACAGCATTGTGAGGCCACGGCGTTTTGGGTTGTTTGGTGTGTTTTTTCTGGGGGGCGGGGGAGGGCACTGATGGTGTACATCCTGTCATTCAGAGTGCCAGTTTTGTTCCAAACCAGCATAATGGAGCTTTAAAAGCCAGGACATTTTTTTCAGGCCTCTGCCTGTACAGAGAAGTTATACCAATCGAATCCAAATTATTTTTAAACTGGTCCTGACTGCATAAATGCCTAAGCAAAAGAAATTTACATTAACATATTTCATTTTGCAGTTGAAGTGGGCTAGGAATGCACACCCACTCAGTCAATCAAGAATATGTCTTCAAGCTACAATAGCTTGATTACTTTCAACTGCTTGTCTCTACCTGAAAAGGGCTGAACTGATTTTGAACCAGCCAATTCAGGTAAGCTCACTCTTCTGAATTTACCTCTGAAAACCAGTATCAACCAGTTTTAAATTTCCACAATGAATCTCCCTCTCATGCAATTACATCACCTTCATTTATCTGTAAGTGTATGGTTAGATACCACAGTAAGTGTATGGTTAGATACTCAAAATTTCTTGTGAGTTTAAACGTCAGGAGATAAGCATTAAAAACATACTTCAAATACACAGCTCTCTGAACTCTAATGCTAAAAAAACGACTCTGCTTGGTGTAAAATAAGCTGGCCCCATAGGAGAGAGACCAGAGTGATTCCCACACACTGCCCAGTGTCACCAGCTCTGGCTGATTCCATCATCCCTGCAACCCTGCAGCACCTCTGCAGATGTGGGGTGGGTGCTCATTGCCAACGTCTGCATGTGCCCGAAGGCGGGAGAGCTGCAGCAAAAGCAAAGCACACAGAGAGAGGCCAGTCCCATATCCCCTGACAGCACTCAGCTCCATCCATCCCCCTCCATCATACTCTTCAGCCAATTCTGTCTCATCTTCAGGGACACATTTAAGCTCCAGGAAAGAGATCGCCCACTTCTATCTCAAGCCCAGGTGGTTCCCCTGTATTTTGGGTGGCCAGTAATGGGCTGAAGTGTGCGTGCACTGCCTCAGCCTCTCCCGCTCTGTATAAAGCTTGTACCTGTTTACACACCCACTTCCCAAGGCCTTCCCCCTCCATTTCCTCCCAGATCACCCCAAGGAAGAAGGATGGCCTCTGAACACTCCGTCACGTAACAAACCACCACCTGATGAGAAAGACTTTATTAACAAAGACATATTTAGCACTGGAAGCACTATTAGCAGTACGTGAAGTAACTTCACTTCCTCTGGTCTTCCTGTGATTCCCGAATGAGTACACAGACAACACAAGACCAGCGAGAGCGTAACGCTCAGGTGTGGGACTTTATTGTAGAGTTATCTTGGAAGAGGTCAGGGAGCCACTCTAGGGAAAATTCTGCTATGCCTGGGAAAGTGTCTTTTGCAAAAGTAAGCCTGGTGTCACAGGAGTGGAAGGCAGCAGACACTGGTGGGAAAATACCTATATGATGGAGTAACTAGTTTGACAGAGCTGGATATAGAAGTTTTAAACTATAGAATAAGTATCATACAAAGCAGAGCTGTGCGAACTTTCCAATGTTCAACTCCAACAGCACTATGAAAATAATACCACAGCCTTGGCCTTTTCTGCTTAAATAACAAGCTGTAAGCAAGAGCCAAAGATGTCTATCATTTGGAGAGCAAAAAGTAGACTGAGACCACACTCTCACTTTACAGATAGCTACAAAGATTACATGAAGATAGGACTGTAAAGACATAAAGATAAGTCCCTGCCAACCTAATCAAGATGGTATTAACAGTGATCTCACACTCCATCTGCCTGGCTAGTAATTTATGAAAAATGTACTTCACTATTACAGGAAAAATATGTTGCACTGCTTGTGGCCACAAACCTACTGCAGCAGCCCAGGAACTCTTGGATCAGAGGCCATGAGACCAGTTCTTGACATTTACCGGGTACTGCCCGTGAGTTCTGATTCATTCATATAGTGGTTTTGTTTGTTTGTTTGTTTGCCCTACTAATATGCTCATCTTCAGACAGATATAATAGCTGATGAAAAAGTTACAGCCCCTTGCAATTTAGGGTGTAATACCATACTGCTTTAGATTTTTAACTTTTCCGTGTGCCACATAATTTTGTACTTCTTATTCAAGACCAAACATAATCCACTTAATGTAAACTAAGTTAAAAACTGCAATCTTATCCAAATATTCTGAATCTAGAAGACATTTGGCTTTTCATCCTGTGAATTCAACATGAGCACTTCACTTAATTTTATGGGATTCTTTTTATGAGTAAAAAAAAATCTCCCTGTTCTTGCACTGATCAGCAACCATTTCTGATTAAATTACTCCTTTTCCTGCCAGAAAACCTCATCTTGTTTATCGAAACCATATCTCTTCAATTAGTATTACATGCCTCTTCCTTTAGCTTACATTGCCTAAGAATCAGACCTATGCATCTTGCTAGTTGCAAAAAAGGACCTTTTTTTTTTTTTTTTTTTTGAGAAAAGTAAGTGGGGGTGGGCAGTGGTGGTGATGGTGTCATTTTAGAAAGCAATATGAAATCTTCCAACTTCCATCAACGCAAAGTTCATGGGCAGCATTTTAATATCAGAATTATGTAAAATGACCTCTGGGTATCAAAACAAAAAAAAAAAACACCCACCAGTATCAACACACTGGAATTAAATGGTAATTATGCATTTCTTCACTCAGCAGAACTACTGTTTGGACCATCCTTCTAGTTGCTTCAGCAAAAGAAGACTAGATACGCAATGAAGAACACAGTAAATCAGGACAAAAACCTTACTGTAGTTCTACAAATATTCTTCTGCTGCATATTGGAGAAAAAGCATCTAGGAAACTACTAACTGCTATGAATCGGTAGGTTAGGATATTCAGAGCAATAACTAAGGAATAACAGCCTATGATCTAGCCAATTCCTAGTCATACGAACAACTCAAAGACATCATCTCTTTTTATGCTGAATAGCAACACGGCAAAATGAGCCTTTGATATTATTAGAAGGCTTGCATGCTCAACATCATTTGTAAGACTTCTGTCACAATCAGAATACGCAAAGTTTTCCTCCCCTTTTTGTGGGACAAGACATTGCCTTGGAGTATGAGATTATTTTCTTATCAAATAAAATACTCAAATTACTTCATATACAAAGGGTGAGTCAACCTCAAGAAAAATTTTATCAAGAAAATAGATAAATTCAGTCTTGGTAGCATTTGTTCTATCTTTAGCAATGCAGATGAAGGGAACCATTTCCCTAAGTACACATGCTCTTGTGGCTCCAATACTCCTCTATAAAACTAAACACCATAATTTATTGTATTGCAGTACGCTAATAACATCTTTAAAGAAATTGGAATCATTTTCTAGCGTTCCTTTGAAAGTTTCTAGCTGTGATATCCACAACTCATATTCAGAGAGAATTTTTTTGCCCCCTTAGTTTTGCTCCTCAAATGCTTTCACTTCTGTTCAGAAACACTCTTCTACCAATCTCATTTTGCCAGATCAAAAATACTACAGATTTATCTTTTAGACCCATTCTTGGAAAAAAATAAATCAAAATTTCTTCACTTTATCCAACAGATACACACTTCATAGCTTTGCTAATATATGCAAATTGTCTGATTGCTTGAAATTACTGATTAACCAGGCTGGAGAGCTGATTACCTGATTATCCAAGAGAAAAATAATTTAGCATGATTTTGCGTCATTTGACAGTCTAGATAATTTCCCAATTAATTTGAGTTCTCAAGTGAATTCAGAGATTCAGTGAAAAAGAGAAAACAGGTCAATGATTTGAATATAGGTAAGCTTTCCAGGAATTTTGTTCTTACAGCAATCATTTGTCAAATGTTATTGTTACTTACAGACTTTTCAGACACACACACACAAATGAGAACTTAGACTTCCAAAAATATTCAAAAATCGACCCATGGTAAAATCTTCAATGCTCTTGTAAAGATACCTTGTAGAGCTGGACATAAGATTAGTGGAGCACTAGTCTGACACATGGCATCAAACTTCCAGTGTTACCAATAAATTCTAAACTGCACGTGAAGCAGTACGTAGCAGATATTTTGTCAGTACGCTGAGAGAATAATAAACACTGGATATACGTACTTGCCACTGAAAAGTTGTTGAGTGGATATGGCAGATCCACATCCTGGGGCTTCTCCTTATAGCCTATGAAAGAGCCATCTGTCTTCAGCAGGAAATATCTTGGCCGCCAGTTTTTTATATATTCTCCTACAGGAGAAAAAGAAAATGTTCATTAGTGCTGTAGGAAAAAACCTTTGATATTAAAAAACATAACATATTATCAGTGTCTAACATTAATCTCTTCAGACGTTTTCAACTTACAGAGGAAACCTTAACTCCTTCCAAAAGGAGAGAAAAATGGAATTTCAGTGGCAAGCCTGGACTATACAATGATGTCTCTGGAATAAGAAGCTACAAGCACTGTATAATAAAATTTTGTAATTCTAAATTTTATCACACTACACTGTTTTAAATCCTACATTTGTAAACCCATAGACAGTACAAAATTAGGTGCAGGCAACAATAAGTACTACAGCTTGACTTGTAATAACAAAATGTAATCTAAACTACTACAAGGTGAAAAGTTAATCCTGCTGAGCCAAAGCAAAAACAACTAATTTCCTCAAAACACACATTAAGCAAATATAAGAAGATTGGGGGTAATGGGAGAATCTACACAAATTATACTTAACAAATATATCCGAAAGCAAAGGGAATAAAAAAAGTAGAAGCCCATTACGTTTTAAGAAGCAAGTCCACCAACAAACCCACCACCCTCCACCTTTCCCCTACCCCAGTCTGAGCAGAAGATTCTGCTAGCCATGAGGTATTCAGGACCAGAAACATACAGAACAGGTCAGCAAAGACAGGATAGCTTAATGTCACTTATTTGCTATTTAAGGGTGAAAAATCTCTTTAATAACATTATACTTTACAATATCACACCAAAATCCCAGCAACAATTTAATTTTTAAAGTGCAATTACTCAGATGAGTCTAGATCTGCCCAACTTTCCCCATCTTTGATTTCTATCAACTCTGCAAAGTAAATAACATCTCTACAAGTGCTTACTAAGAATTTAAATATGTCACTGTTTCATCAGAATACAAGGGAACATTTTAAGAGAAAAAGCGTATGTAACAATGCAGAATTTCCAACCGTCCTTAGGACCTCTCACCCTTTGCCAAATGCTCAGAACTGCCTAGTCCAGGCGCTGCACTGGTCCTCAGCTAAGGCCAGCCCTTTAGTGCCATTTACCACCTCTGCACCCTCTTAACTGTAGCTACGTAGCTTTTAGACAATTCAAAGGTCAGAAAGAAGTTTACATCCATCTGATATGAAGATTACTCCATTAAAGGCTAATCTAAAAATTCATTAATCTCATCTTCACCTTTCCATCACAGCAATCAACTAATTGTCACTGAAGTTCAACATACGAATTGTTAATACGGCCTTGCTGAACTTGGCAACAACTTGTAAGGATTTCGATGACGCCTGTGGCTTAAAAATCTAACTGCAGCCATTAGCGTTTCCAATTTTCAACATGTATTTAAGCAGAGAAGTGGGGTAGGGAGTAGGAGATGGAGAAGAGGAAAGA